GAGTTATATGTGAGTATGTGTGCTCACTCATCTCCCTCCTCCGCATTATCACAAGCTATACATAGAGTCATCCAATGGACCCGAAGTTTGTTGCTGGTATCCTTCTCAGTGCTTGCAACAGGCATCTTCTGTTGTAGTACAGGAGACTTCAGATTGGGCAGATGAGACTGCTGATATAGCCTGGTTGACAGATGAAGCAGAGGACATATATTGTCACAAAGCTATGAACTTCGTGAAACAAAATATAGCTTTCGTTTAATGTCCAGCCCCAAATGTTTGAATGGAGGAGAGGACAAACACATCTGAACCTGTCTGCCTTTGGTGTGGGTTGATCAGTTTCATGGGAAAGGGAGAGCAAGAGAAAAACGAAGACCATATGCAACATGGGATGGGGCTTCAGCTGCCACCCTTCTCTCACGGCACACAAGAAGAGCCGGCCTTGACAGCATGCAGTATATAACCTGAAGCCAACAAGGGCAGAGGAAGCTCTCCAGGTTGCAATGGAGCTTCTGGATATGACAGGCATTGAGCCTCGAGGTGGCAATGGAGCTTCTGGATATAACAGGCATTGGTGCAGAGGCTCACTGCAGAGCGAGTACATAACTGTCATTCCCATAGTTGACATGCTGGTGGGAAAGGAGAGACTGTTGCCGCCAGAATAGAGTGTGAGACTCGTGTTTCTTTTGTTTGCTTTCTACAAACCGGAAAAGCGGAACAGAGAGGTGGATGGGGTCGGAGTAGTTGGAAGAGGCTGCACAGCAGCAGAGGACAAACAATGAAACATGAGTGAGTACATCCCAAATAAGACTCCGTGGACACTTTGCAGAAACCCGTCACACATATGATTGATGTACGTAGCTCCCGGAACCTGGAGCAAGCTTTGGGGCACTGTGTTTACTGAACAGACCACTGTGAAATCATGAAATACATTAACATCCAGAGTCCATACCATATTCCAAATGACACCTATGAGTTGAGGCATCTAAACAACAGCTCTTATGCTAGAAGGCAAGTAATAGAGTTCATGCATCAATATCACAGCTCGATTGGAAGATGTGGATACAACTGCCCTTGCATACTCATCTGCGAAATCCATGCCTTCGGAAACCTGCAGAAACGAGCGAACTCAGATGAAAGGATCTCACAAGATCTCCATTGCAGGCAATGAAAATGACAATGGAAGTCCCCCATTTCCCGCACAAGATCCTCTCCATGGACATAAATTATGCTATTAAGTTATTAACATGTTTGAATGCCTTCAGTTTCAGGTATGATCTGCATATTGCTAAAATTGATGGCCGCTATCGTGACATTTTGTCGAAAAATGAAAAACAAAAAACAAGAAGCGATTGAGCCTTTTGCTACTTTGGCTGCAAGCAACATCGAGCAAACTCACAGTCGTCAAGCTTCAAAAATTCAAATGCAAGAGGAACCATGGCCTTCCCATCTTCCTATTCATCATGGAAGCCATAGCTTCTTTCCTTGGCAAGGACCCTCCATAGACTGCCTCACTGAACAGAATTACACCCCCCTACATGACTTCGCTCTGCCCACTGCATTGATGTTCGCTGACAATCTTACCGTTCTCATCCAAGCCAATAACGCCTCCTTCCAGGCCCTCGTCAGAGCCATGTAAGCCTTCCGACTAGCATCAGAATTGCTTGATGAAGAGCTAGGGTAGACTGCGGAAGAAGGGGTCAATGGAGGAGAGAAGCTTACTAGTGAATTGCATGGAGCGAGCGTGGAGAGCATACTTGCGGTGCATCACGTGCGCGTGAAGCGCGCATATGCGGCGCGCACGCATGCATGCGCACGCACGTGGTGCGGCGCGACCCCTAAAATAGGGGTGGAAAACAAAATTAGGAGTGGCAGGGTTGGATGGCACACCCATTCCCTTCCCTTGGAAACTTAGGATTCCACCAATTTCCACGAGAAAAGAAAAATTGGGGGGGCACGCACTACACCGGCCCCCGAAATATGTGTTATGTGTCCTGTGGTTGAAAATGGATTCAAGATTGGCCTGGCTGCACTGCACAAAGAGTCTACATGTATCTGGAGCTGTTAATTCTCCCAATACATTCTGAATGTCATGTGTTGAGTAATGGAGCGCCGCTCCGAGCCATGGTGACTAGCATCAGAATTGCTTGATGAAGAGCTAGGGTAGACTGTGGAAGAAGGGTTCAATGGAGGAGCGAAGCTTACCACTGAATTGCACGGAGCGAGCGTGGAGAGCATACTTGCCTGAAAGCAGCACGCAAAAGTCGAAGAACGGCTTCGATGAAGCAGAAGGCAAGGTTAGGATAAGGGACTTGATACGTGAAGCCGGTCCCATTCCGGGCCATACCTTACTGTCCACATCTCAAGCACGCGGCGGGCTTATACGTGGACAGTAAGCCGTCGATGCATAAGTGCGCGCGCAGCGCGCATGTGCGGTGCAAAGCGCACATGCATGCATGTGCGCACACGTGGTGCGCCACAACCCCTAAAATAAGGGTGGAAAAACAATTTGCACACCCGTTCCCTTCCCTCGCTAAATTAGGATTCCACGAGAAAAGTAAAATTTGGGGGCCGCGCAATACAGCGGCCCCCGAAATATGTGTTATGTGTCCTGTGGTTGAAAATGGATTCAAGAGCGGCCTGGCTGCACTGCACAAAGAGTCTACATGTATCTGGAGCTGTTAATTCTCCCAATACATTCCGAATGTCACGTGTTGAGTAACGGAGCGCCGCTCCATTTTCGGAAAACGGATACTTCTGACAATCTCTCTTTTCTTTCCCTAATCATATGCAGGATAACGCTTAACTTTGAGGGCCTACTGACACTAGGGACATCGCTCCACCATTCATCAATGGTGCACCATGAGAATGAATCTTCCGCTAGAACATGGAAACATACACCAACGTAATTTTTGTTTTGTGCATGTGGTGAGTAGTGAAGCGAGGCCTTAAGACCTTCTAGACTCAGCTACGGATGTCATTCCATCCAGAAAAGCAGGGGGAGTTACGAGATACCCCCCTCTCTAGGTCTGTTTTTCGTTTTTTTTTGCTTTTGTTTTCCCAGGCATACGGAATGTTGTACCATTTCTCGATTTAGCTTTGTTTTATTTGTCTTTTCCTGTTCTCCTGACACTGCCAAGTATGAATGAATGGGACCTGATAATAGGGTAGGATACTTCGGGGCAACACTGCCCTCGATACAGGCCAGGAACTTGGATAGAGGGCAGCGTTGTCTCCTCGAAACGGCTGCTCATCATGACTGTATTAGACCTGACAATTAGAAGGATACATTCGAGGGCAACACTGCCCTTCATCAAAGTTCACGAGCACACCGAGATAGCGCCCTGCACCACACACACACACACACACAAACAAAAAAGAAGGCCCGCGCACAAGCGGCACACCACTGGAGTAGCGCCCTGCACGGTGCGCTGCACCTGTATGTGTTTTGTGCGCAGTGCGTGCACGGCGCAAGGCGCACTGCACAGCATGGCCCGCCATTCTGGTGCGCCGCAAGTATGGTGGAGAGTCATCAAGCTTGGCCCTAACGGGGCTACTTTGGCCCTAACGTACAAAAGAAAATGGGACATGGTACCGGGGCCGCACTGCAACAGCACATGAATCCTTTCACTCTTCCCGCAAAGTTGCCGTTTTTTTTGTTTTTTTTTTAACAGGTCCTTATGGTCGTGGCTCCATGTCCATTCTGGGGAGCATCAGTCCGGTTCCTATTCCCCCCGCAAGTCAAGATTGAATACATCATAGTCCACACCCACGCTTCCTTCCATCGGGCCGAAGGAACCCTGACCAGCATTGATTACTCCTGTATGGGAGGATTGACTGTCAGCTTGCCCTACCCTAGCTTTCCTCTCAGAAACCCTGTTGGTTCTGTCGAATAGGTATTGAAGCACAAGAAAACCAGGAGAGATGTCTATCCGTCTGAGGCTAGAACCTCAATTTGTCCCTCTCGGGGCTACATTCCTTGTCGTAGTTGTAGTGGCCCATTTCTTCAAGTGTAGTTTATTGTCTGAGATTGTCGCGATCTTCCCCTGTAGCAACCAGTCTCTCATGAAGATTCGTCTCTTGAGTGCGCGTCTTTCAGGTTTGCCTCTCGTTGCTGTCGAAATACTCCTCCACTTGCATCGGATCTCTGTTTGCACCATCCTCGGCAGTAGGATCCACATTTCCTACTTGGCCCCTTCTGAACCCTCGACTGTCTTGGTACATCCTTTTCCATATGGCCCACAGGGCTAGTTTCCTGATCATGTGGAACCAGACCGCTTTCCCACCTCCGAGGCTGCTGGGGATGTTAGATAGAAGTAGGATGTTCACAGGGGTGAGGTTGGGGGGAGGGGATGAGAAGAGGTGGGACCATAGATTTCGGACTTTGTTCCATATTCAGGTGGCCTGGCTGCCGTAGAGGAGGCAGTGGGGGACGTCTTCAGCGACATTGTCGCCGCACATTATGCATAGTTCCGAGCTGTCAGGGTCCGAGTGTTTTCTTCTTTTGTGGAGCCACTGGTTGACGGGAGTGCTGCATGGGCTAGGAGCCACTGTAAGCTATGGATTCTAGCTGGTCTGATGGGGAGGTATTTTATCCAGCGGATGGATATTGAGGCTGCTGGCTGTAGGGTCAGTGACTCACTCCATCTGTCTTCAAGTTTGGGGTTGGGGTCCGTGGTCAGTAAGCCTAGGTTGTACCCAAATTTTACGTTGTATTCCAGTATCGTTCTAGCTTTTCTGGTTTTGCTTTGTTTCCATATCCATTCCTTCGGATCGAATTCGAGGTCTGCTATGCTGAAGCCAGGCTGGAAGATTATCCACGGTTTGGCTTTTGTTACCCTCACTTTTCGCAGCCGGAAGGACTCTATCGTCTCTAGCTGAGGTTCTCTGTTGAGGATGGCTAGTTCCTGGAGGTTGTGATTGGCGATGGGATAGGAGTAGAATTTGGAAAGGTAGCCGGTAGCTGAGGTGCGGGATACAAACCGGTATGCTCTGATCGATGAAGTCTGGGATATGAGTATACCCCAGTCCCCTGGTTTCCAGGAAAAGTCTTCTTTCAAGAGGCGGAGCCAATGGGTTGGGATGCTCTTCTGGATTATACTTAGGTTGTCTGCGAGAGTGTGACAGCCTTTTCGGGTGTTCCGGAGTTCTTGTTCCGTTCGCCATTCCCCCCGTTTTTCTGCCCACAGGTGCTTTACCTGCCACACCCCTTTTTGAACCCAAGACAACCATCTTCGGTCCTTCGTTCTTAGTGGCCAGGGAGTACCCTCGGGGTCCTTGATCCAATCATTGCAAAACAGTGGTTGTCTCAGGGCCTCTTCTTTGTTATCCGCTGTTCCCTGTTTGCCTGGCATCATACGTCGCCAGGCTTTCAAAGTTGGGGTCCAGTATGTGTTGGGTGATGGGGCTGCCCGGTTGTTTGGGTTTCGTGTGGTGCTCCTGCGCGATCTGCCTAATCTTATCGTTCACTCCTTTGCCATAATCCAGAAGTAGCCGCTCATGTTTGATGGGGAGCTTATTGGTGCTAGGTTTCTTATGCTGTCTAGAACCATCTTGGTCCATGGTAGGTATTGTCTGGTCAGGATCTTGATGATCCATTTCCTGTTGATTCCTCTTGTGGTTTCCTAATGATGTGGCTCCATGCTACCAGTTTCCTAATAATGTGGCTCCATGCGACCCTGTTGATGCATGAGGTTCGATTGGGGTCCCGTCCATAGATAGCACCTTACTCTAGCCTTTATGGTTTGGAAGGGGGAGACCAGATGGATGCAATCTACCATAGTGTGGAGAAGATAGCTGTGTTTATAATTAGTGCCCTCCCGATCAGCGATGCCTGTGCATTCATGCACGGGGCCAAGCGAGTTATTGCTTTAGCAATTAGGCTGTGCCCCATTCCCAGCCATACGCCATCCTTGTTGACCGTGATACCTAGGTTTCTGAGTGCCTGTTCGCCTGTGGACCACGACATGAGTGTGGCTGTGCCCTCGGGTTGGGGGGGCGTCTCGTCTGCAAGCCACCATCCTTCGCTCTTGCTCCAGTTGGCCTTCATTTCGGATGCAAGACGGAAAGCCTCCATAGCCCTTGCTAGAGCTTGGAAGGAGCTGTTGTTGG